ATATTCTCTGACTTTGCACAGTCCACAGGTTGCTCTTATAATTTCTCCTACACTTTTTCAAATGAGATTTATCTCATTCCACCCTAAAGGGTGTACATTGCAGCCATTGTGGTGCACCAACCTCATGGCTCAGAAAACTCAAAATTGCTTTCTTACCTGACCTTGAAGAGTTTCCTCAGGGCCTTTGAAACATGCACCCATCTCCTAAACCACGACCCCTGCAGTGGTCCTTACAACTAGTACTCCATTACTTGACATTACCTACCTTTGAATTACTGGCTATAGCACATAAGAAATTTCTGTCACACTTTTCCTTGTCACTATTACATCTGCTCGATGGGCCAGTTAACTTGCTGCGCTTCAGGCTGACCCTCCGTGTCTCCAGTTCTACCCCATAAGGTCACCCTTTCCTTCCTACTTAAAGTCATCTCTGATTTCCACATCAACCAGCCTGTCATTCTCCCAACCATTTTCCCATCACCATCCACAGAATTGGAACATGCCCTCCACATGCTGGATGTGAGATGCTCACTTGCCTTTTATGTGTCCTGCAATTCAGACTTCCGCAAGTCTCAGCAACTCTTTGTTGGTTACCAGTGCCCTAAAAAGAGCTACCTGGTTTCTTCACAGAACTCTTTCACATTGGACTAATCATACCATTACTGTGGCTTATGATTTAGCCTATAGACCTCTTCCAAGCCCTATTAAGTCACGCTTCACCAGAGCCGTCTCATCTGCAGAGCAAATACATAGTCCAGGCCATCCACATTCATGTCACACTATAGGCTTGATGTCAGAACCAAGAAGGACGCCGACTTTGGGCAGGCTATACTGATTCTCCCGTGACAGCCCACCATCCAGTAAGCCAGCTTGCTAATAACCCATTTGTACTCATTCACAGAGTCCATGAAGGAGAAAGAGAGGTTACCTACCTGTCCTTTGAGTGGTCCTTTTAGTGGTCATCTGTGAATTCACACATCCCACCTGTCGTTCCCTCTGTCTATGTCTTATATGTCGCTGGACTCCTTTTTAGGAACTAAGGGACTACTAGAGCATGCGCACCAGGAGGATTGTCTTAGTGAAAGTGTGACTGAAAGCTCTATAAAGTTTTGAGGATGTCTGCACAGGTGCAGATTTAACCCATTTGTGTAAATTCACAGTGACCACTTGAAAAACCAGTTACAGAGAGTTACCTCTCTTTCTCCAATATCAGCTGAAGGATAAATTGTTTGTATCTGTTTATGTTGATTATTACACCTTTGCATGAATGTCATTGTTCCAAGTATGAATAATACCAACAAAATTGGTCAACTAAGATGAAACAGTTTTTACTCTATTTCAGAAGTGTTACTGCAGAAACATTGGATGCAAGATTGTATTTAGAGACCCTGAAACAGCCATTCTCAACATTTTTGGCCACAACCATAAACACAATAAGAAAGAAATGTAGGCAGAATCAGAATTGTATATGTCACATAACGAACCTTATAAAGTGGTGTGTGAAGAACTGAATAATAATAATAATAATAATAATA